CAGATGAAGAAACACTTTCTACAAAATAGTATGAAATTCTCAGTTTTTCTGTGAAAGACAGCAAATGTCTCCAGCCACAACATTCGTTAGAAAAGAGGAAAGAGAGGGAGGGAAAAAGTCGTGTTCAATGTTTTTGTTTTGTCAATTCCATATGACATTTTCTTTAAAAAGAATGGCTTGTCATCCCACTGAAAGCTATTCTTGGCTTGTGCTGAAAAGCTATGATGTGATACCTCTGGCTGAATAGTATCAAAATTTTCATCTATTTAAATATATTCTGATTGAGGATAGTGTAATAAAAATTAACATAACGGCAGTGCTGTGGTGACCCCAAATCTGTTCTGCATTGTCTGGAAAGGGCAATGTGCTTCCTGAATAACTTGATTTGTAAGTACTTCAAATGACTCTCCCTCACACTATGAGGAAATCCCAGGTGTTGATAGTTAGTTGACAGGGTGTTAATGTCATTAACATTCTGTCAGCTCTTCTTGTCAATGTGTTAATGGTGCTCCTGCTGCTCAGTCACTCTCTGTCCTCCAGTTGGGGAAATGATTTAGTTAGCAGTCAATCAAAAAGCTAAGCTGATTTTGGGCCAGAGACAGCCTTGCCATTGACAAAAATCTCTGTGAGTAAATGTGGTAAGAAATTTGTCAACAGAATATAAGCAGTAAGGTCAACACTGTGATTAATGTGCTTTGTTAGACAGTTTGAGATGTTACAGATGGACCACAGCACACACTTAAAAGGAGAAGAAAGAAGGGCATGGTAGTGCACAGCTTTAATCCTCAACACACCAGAGACATAGGCAGGCCAGTCTCTGAGTAGAAGGTCAGCCTGGTCCATGGAGGGAGGTTCAGGCAGGACAGGGTTACAAAGTCAGCCACCGTCTCAAAAAACAAAATGGACAAAAAAAATCAACAACAAAAAAAAAGCAGTTTGACTAAAATTACAAACAGCTCTCTTTAAGAGTGAGTTTCTTTACTGTCTGGAAAAGCCAGATACAGTAACTAAAGTAATCCCTTTCATGAGAGCCTGAGAAGGAAAGAAAAGGGAAAGAGGGCCTTTGAGAGCAAACAGGTTGGTGGGCAAGAAGCATGTAGCAGGTCTCAAGACACATTAGTACAAAGCAGGATGCTTTAGCAAACCATTGTGAGCTGAAGGAAAACAGGAAAGCCACAGAAACAAGGTCTTTTAGACTTTCTCCTGACTTTCCCCAGGGAAACCCATCAGTGAAAGTAAAGTTTACCTCCCTCAACCCCTAAAATCAAGGAAGGTTACTAGCTTTTGCCTTCAACACAGGTGAAAGTTGTCTGTCTTGCTTCATGGTGTATGGTGAGTGGGGGCTGGCACACAGTAACACACAGAAGAATCTTGTTGAATCCTGCTGAGCCTTCCCTCCCTCCACATTATTAACAGTCCATACCACTTTTATCTGTAGTGATATATTATTTATGATTTGACAAAACTTGCCTGAGGGTTCAGAATGCAAAGCCAGTCGCAAGCCATAGAGGCCAGGCAGCTGTGGTACAGATCTTTAATCCCAGGACTTGGGAGGTGGAGGCAGATGGATATTGGTGAGTCGAAGACCACCCTGGGCTACACAAGAGTGAATCAGTTTAAAAGAGTAACAGAGTTCATGCCTTTAATCCCAGCAATAGAGAGGTGGAAACATGAGTGATACAGTTGTGTGGAGAAAGGAAAATAAGATGTGAGGTGACAGGAACTGAAGGTATTTGCCTCAGAAGAAACATAGAGAGCATTGCACTATGAGGATTCGTGGGACAGAATTACCCATTTTGGCCTGAGGTAAAGGTAAGGCTGCTTTGCTTTTCTGATTTTCAGCTTGAACCCCGATACCCATCTCAGGATTTTCATTACTTGTGTTACATTTTTCTCTAGGACTAGATACTTCTTTTATCAGACAAAATGCAAATGGACATTTCCTCTGGAGCCTTCATGTCTGGAAGGCTCCTTTGACACATAGAGCAGTTAAACAGATTTCTCATGTTCTTCTCTTGTTAACCTGCCTTTGGTTACAAGTGATGTCAACCATCAATCATATCACAGGTAAGCAAAGATTATTAGGTTTTCTTTTCTAAACACAGAAACAAAAACAAACAAATTACCCAAGTCTTTCACAATTACAGTGTTGGCCAAGGTTGCAATGTTACACATAATATTAATGACAGGGCTCTTAGAAGAAAAGGCCAAGATGGCAAGGAATTCATTCTAATAGCACTGTCTCATATCTTTCAAGTAAGGGTTACTTTTCAAAGAACAGTTAGCAGGATATGATTCTGAACCTCAGCTCACCAATTTCCCCAATAGACCTCAAATACAGACACAGAACTCGTGGTAATTTTAAAAGATGAAGAGAGATGACCTTTGAAATGAATTAAGAATGTGGGACTATGGAAAGTATCTTTATGAGTTATTGAAGTTATCAGTAGAGATAAAAGCTATTCCTCTCTTAATAAATAGGAGCTTTACAAAATATCAACTATATAAAATTAGGTCATTTGACAAATAGTAAACAGTCAATCAATGAAAGTTAATTATAACATTAATTATTAATGGGTTTCCGTCCCCAATCAAGAAGCTATCTTCAATTGGTACCTGATTACCAAAGAAAATTTATTTTCTCCAATGTCATTTCACTGGGTATATTAACCCTACCTACTTCAGGGGCCAACACAAAACAAACTCAAAGGTATTTTTATACACCTTTTGTCTCATGTTGCTTTGTCCAGCATTTTTGTCTTACTAGTATTTTGCTTGTATAATTTGGTTTTCAATATTGTGGATTTGTGTGTGTGTGTGTGTGTGTGTGTGTGTGTGTGTGTGTGTGTGTGTGTGCATGTTTGTGTCTATTGTAATTTGAAGACAGAGAGAAAGGGTATGGATTTGCTTGGTTAGTGAGGTAGAGAGGATCTGGCAAGAGTTGGGGGAAGGGAAAAGACTGAGTAGGATATATTGGATGAAATAATTGTTTACCAATAAAAAATAACAGCAAAAAACCCAACAGCAAAAACCTCAAAAGCAACCAACCAACCAACCAAACAAACAAAAAAACCAAAATTCCACTATTCAATGATTAAAAAAAAAGAAAAAGAGAAATATAGATAAAATCCTAGCAAGCTATTTCTTTTAATTTAGTCTCAGGACTAGATAGATGTACAGCTTGGTAGTAAAGGACTTGCTTAACATGCACCCAGATTAGAGCTACATCCCTAGTTATCTCAAGAACACAAAAACTACCACCAATAAACTTCCAAGACTAGGTTTGTGATGAGCATGTTAGCATTGAAGAATAAATATTTCCCGGACTATGGTCTTTTAATTTTATGGTTATATAAAAATGTGTATGCTGTTCCAGACCCCTGAAAGAGGCTGTCAGTTTGGAGATCTGGTTAATCTATGGAGTCTCTGGTAGTGGATCAGTATTTATCCCTAGTACACGAATGGACATTGGGAGTCCATTCCACATAGAGGGATACTCTCTCAGCCTAGACACACAGGGGAGGGTCTAGGCCCTGCTCCAAAAGATATGATAGACTTTGAAGATCCCCCATGAAAGGCCTCACCCTCCCTGGGAAGCAGAAAGGGGATGGGGTAGGGGGGCATTGAGGGACAGGGGAGGAGGGGAGGGAGAGGGAACTGGGATTGACATGTAAAACAAGCTTGTTTCTAATTTAAATTAAAAATTTACAAAAAATGTGTATGCTTAATCTATTTTTCTCTTTTGGAGACTCATGCAATTTAGGCTGGCCTTGATTTTCAGATCAACCTTCCTCCACCTTCCAAGTGCCAGGATTACAGACATGAATGCCATGCATGGCTCTATGTTTTATAATCAGATAAAATTAATTTCATTTTTTTCCTCTCAGTTTTGGCATGTAGAATATTCTACTTCCAAATGTGGTATCTTTAAGTTATTTTTGTCTTCTATATGAAAATATCTGAGATAATAGCTCTGGAGGCTGAGAATCCAGGATGAAGGCACCAGGAAATTGATATCTAGTGGTAATTGATTGTGCCTTATTGTTGTGTCCTCCTATGGCAGAGGCCCCAAAGAGCAAACTGGCGTGTGTGTGTGTGTGTGTGTGTGTGTGTGTGTGTGTGTGTGTGGAAGGGTCTGAGATCTATTTGTTCTCTATTGTTTTTTTTCTGATTTTTTTATTTGAATTAGAAACAAGATTGTTTTACATGGCAATCCAAATTCCCTTCTCCCTCCCATTCTCCCCTACCAGCCCCCCCCCAACTAAATCCCTACCTATCATATATCCTTTCTGCTCCCCCTGGATGATGAGGCCTTCCTTAGGGTGCCACCAAAGTCTGTGATAATCTTTGGGATAGGGCCTAGGCCCACCCCCGTGTGTTTTGACTCAGGGGGTATTCCTGTATGTGGAATGGGATTCCAAAGTCCACACCTATGCTAGGGATAAGTACTGAACTTCTATAGGAGGTCTTGTAGATTTCCAAGGTTTCCTCAATGAAATCCATGTTCCTGGTGTCTGGATCAGTCCCATACTGGTATCCCAGCTATCAGTCTGGGGAGCAAGAGTTCCCTGATATTCAGGTCAGTTGTTTCTGTGGGTTTCACCAGCTTTGTCTGGACTCCTTTGTTCTTTACTCGTCCTTGTCTGCATCTGAATTCCAGTTCAGTTCAGTGATGAGTTGTGAGTGTCGCTTCTACTGCCACCCGCTGCTGGATAAGGGCTATCGGGTGGCATATAAGTCAGTCATCGATCTCATTATAAGGGGAGGGAAATTAAGGTAGCCTCTCCTCTGTTGCTTAGATTGTTAGCTGGTGTCATCTTTGTAGATTTCCAGACATTTCCCTAGTGCCTGATTTCTCTGTAAACTTAAAATGTCTCCATCTATTATGGTATCTCCATTCTTGCTATCTTCTATTCTTCCCCTGACTCAACCTTTCTGCTCCCTCTTGTCCTCTGCATCCCTCCTCTTCTTCCCCTCTCATTCTCCTAGCTCCCTTCGGCCCCTCTTCCCGTGCTCTCAATTTGCTCAGGGGATCTTGACCCTTTTCCCTTTTCCAGGGGATCATGTATTGTTTTTATAAGGAACAAATTTCACACATCAAAGAAGAGTTGTTATTCTTATATCTTATCAATCACTTCCAAAATTCACCACTGCTTTATACACAGCAGATGATGTGTCAAAAGAAACTATGGATTGGGCACAAATATTCAGGCCATAGCAGGAGGAATAATGAGTGTTATAAACCGAAGGAGACTGAGGTAAACTCAGAAGGCAGAACCTGCTGAAGTAGGTCACAAAAACTATAATTGCCTAACTCTTCATCTCAGGAGCAGGCCATAAAGAAGCTACAAAGATCATTCTCCTTGTCTTCCCTAGTCCTCAGACATGTGACCTGTTCCCTGCCCTCTACTCAGAGAGGTAAGGAATGTCATGTGGAGAACCTAAGAGGTATCTGAACAAACATCTTGCTAAATCATCTCTCACCCCTCTAATTGATTACAGTTGGATTACATCCTTTCTTCTTCGATTTGGACTTCTATGTAAAAAAATCTATAAAAAAAAAGCCCTCCTTGCCTTTTCTTTCTGAGGGCTACCTCCTATAGCAGGTAACACATTTATCAACTTTATAGCTCCTTTCTTAATCTGTCTTTTAATAGGCATGTTAAGCCATGCATTGTGCAATGGGTACAGAAAGAGATTTTTTTCTACCCTACACTATTTTTTCTGACTCAGAAACAAAAAAAAAAATTAGACAGAAAAGGAGAAACAAAAGTGACATACTTTGTTATAAAGCTGCTGGCTTCAAGAAGCTAGAAGTAGGGTAACTACATTCACAGGAGAACACTCCTTTTAATTTTTTGAGACAATGCATTACAATGTAGCTCAGGTTGGACTGGAATTTATGGTAATCCTCCTGCTACTGCCCTAAAACCATTGCGATTTCAAGCTTGAATCACCATATTGGTACCTTGAGGACTATCTACTTTTCTACCTTAAAAAAATAAAACAATTACTTTAGAATGTATGGATCATAAATTCTAAAATTGATCATACTTTTTAAAAATGTCAAACCTAAAACAATGATTCAATATTACTTAAATACTTGACAAAATTTATATGGATAATCTTTCAGAAATAATTATAAGGAAAGATTACTACTTCTTAACAATATCCTTCTATATGGAGAAAGTCAAATAAGGGGCTTGGATTCCCTAATTCCCAATGATGTTACACAGATTTGCTGAGTGTCTACATTGTGGTAGGTGGTAGTTAATTGATAGCTACATAGAGGTTAACAAATCTGATATAATCTTTGCTAAAGAACAGTATATAGAGAGTATGTAAATGCTAAGCTGCCATCAGATTATGGTTGAGTTCTCAGTTGTGTGCACTGTAGTAATTTAATGGCCTGACAATATCTAGGTATAATAAGCATTGAATTAATGTTGTGAAAGAGTAAGGGTACACATGAGAACTGTTTGTCATAACCTGACCTGGTCATCTAGTGAAGATTCAACCTATATGTTCAGTAACCATCATGCCATTGCTGTTATCCATAGTGCTCTTGATATTTATGGAGGTCATAGACATGGAAGTGCTGTTCCTGACCGGTTTTGTAACTCCAAGTTCTTACAGATAGATTATAGTTGGTTAGATAAAGTACTGTCATATTTACTTAATTTAAAGCATCAGTGATCTGAAACAAAACTATTGGCAGATGAAGGAAGCATCTAGAGTCCTGTATGACACATGGGAACATAGTATTCATTGTAAAACAGAGGCCAGAGGCCAGAAATATGGCTAAGTGATGAAGACAAATTCCACAGGACCCAAGTTTGGTTCTAATCTCCCCTGTCAGCCATGTTTTTCAACTCTTTGTTCACTAGCCAAAAGGTATTAAAAATATCCAAAATACAGCATACATGTGGTCATTTTGCATTTTGCATTCGTCTTTCTAGGAGAGTGAAATTCTCACTAAGCACTCGTGGAGATTTTTCAGAACAATACTAATTTAAACAATAATTTCATTATTCTAATTTATTAATTTATAGTTTTAACAGAATAATATTCTATTTTTCTGTAATGAATTGTCATATTTTTCTTGGTATGAACTGCAAAGTCACACTCCTATACAATTCCATACACTTTCTAATCCCCTTGTAGATAGTCACACTTTGGTACCACTTAAATGAAGAACATTTCATTTAAAAATGATTAATTACCTGCATAAAAAGAGAAATAAAGTAGGGAGAACAGGTGAAGTTCATGAGGGTTTGAAATTAGTTTTTTTTTCTTTCTTTTCTTTCTACATGAGCCGCAAAGACTCAATGTTGCAAGCTGTTGTGTGGCCATAAGCCAAGTGTAAAAGAAAATATTCCATGACAAGAGTCAACATGAAAAGGTGAAAAAAATAAGTCAAGTCACCAATGAAGTGAAAGGTTCATATTAGGTGTCTCAATGTGTCCAGTTATAAAATCCAAGGATAGACAAGGACTGCCTGCTTGCAATGCCTCACAAACTTGTTCTTCCAATATTCCTGTTTACAAATGTAACATCACTAAAGTACTATATAGCATTATTTTATGAGGCAAAAAAACTAAGAGTGGAAGACATTTTATATAAATATCAAGTACTGGTCTTAAGTAATTCTTAGGTTCAGTGTCATAATGTCTAAGTTGGGTAGGAAAGAAACACATGAGGAGAAAAAGGCGATAGGTTTAACCTTGGAAGAAGGTGACTTCCATACAGTTGTTGAAGGAATTTACTTATTATCTGATAAAGAAATTGCACTATTTATTCCCTCTAGAGATATAAACTAGTGAATCAATCTGCAGTTCAAGATACTTATTTAAACCCAGAGGAGGAGGATATGGCTTTTACTTCCGAAAACCCAGAATAGAAAAAAAAATCAGTTCTGAATGTAGTTTATCTTCAGACAACAGCTTGGACATTAACACAATTCAAAACAAATGTAGTTTCTCATAATCTCCTTTCAAATGCGCATAGACACACACACACACACACACACACACACACACACACACAGAGTTTATCAGTATATTATATGCAAAATGAGTTTCCTAAATGTTTATGTAGCAAGAAATATTTACTTTTCTTTATACATCAGCTACTTACCAATTTGTTTCTCTTTCCATTCATATATCTACACATTTATATTTCAGTCTACTGACATTACATATTCTCTCATTGCTTCTCAAAATGCATTTATACCCTCAGAAAATGCACATGAATATACCCAAAGAAAGAAAATTATAACACTTCCTCCCCGAATCATTTTCTTATATTGACTCTATCCTTAAGCATTTGGTTATAAAAGAGGATTATTTGCTTTGTTCTTTCAGGTATGATCAGACTTCCTAAGACTTACCTTGCATATCTTGTGGGCTTTCAAATAAAATTTATCTTTGAGAAATGGCAACTTTTCTGTCTAATTGTTCCCTTGCTTACATTACCAGGTTCAAACATCGTGAAATGAAATTTATGCTGCTAATATAAAAGCACCTTACACACAAATTCATCTAATGGTGTAGGCTAGTGAGTCTAGAATAGATGAACAGATAGCTACACAGAAAAACACACAAACAAATTCTTAAATAAAGGATATCGTCATCTTTTCCACAAACTTATCGTGTTGACTGTCTTCTTTTGGGAAATTCTTGATGTCACGCTCCAGATGAAGAATGTTTTGTTCCATTGCTACAAGGTTGCTCTTGAGAGTTTGAGCTGAAACTACAGAACAATGTGCAAAATATTTAGAATCTTTCACTGGGTATTACACAAAATAACCAAAAACAGTATCTACTGAATATTTTTTTAATGTGGAAAATTGTTCCATGGAGTCATTTTCACATTTTTCTCAATTACAGCTCTTAAAAATTCAACTCTCTATGAATTAAATGAAAATGTGTAATGTAATATACCAAAATCATCATATTTAATATGGGAATGTCATCGTTTTACTCAGCCATTAGTTCAGATGAACCCATTCCTATTTAAATTTATTGATGAACACCTAATATTTCATTCTTTAAAATCTAAATTGAAGATTAAAGAGAAACTAAGGTTCAAAGAGATCTTATATTATTAATGCATGTCCTTGGTTATATAAATGATGAGAGGTTAAATTATATAAAAGGATAAAATGTTTGCTTTTTTTTGAAAACCCTGAGTTTTATGAACCAACAACTATGGTACAAATTCCCATCTTTAAGATTTCATACTCAATAGAGTCATGTAAAATAACTGTTGCTACAGATGTTGAGTTTAGAACAAACCCTAGTGAATATAATATGAACCTACAAATATATACACACAAAGCTTCAGCATGTCTTCAGACACAATCATTAGCTGTTTAATTACCCCTAATACTCTCTGCTCTTCTCCTTTTCTCTCATTGACAACTAATAATTTAAAGTGTTGTATCAAAACTGCTCCTAAATACATGTACACTTTCAAGATCTCTCATGGTGCTGTCATTCCTGGGGTGTGTTAAAAAAATAAGAAAGAAAAAAAAACCTTATTACTATTTTCTACTACATTATTATATGACTTTGAATTGCATACACAGACACTTCTATCAATACCAACAGAATCAGATGAAATTCCAGTTGAGGAGACAAGGGAAGGGTTACACTGGTTTTTAAATCCATATTTCTGAAACAGTGTTTTCATTAAGGACTATGAAACACAAATAGAAAAACACAGTTTCTATTTCGGTGAATTTTATCTATTTTAGAGATATACTAGCATCACAATGAAAAATTTAAGAGACTGACTAAATCAACCCTCTGGCAAATTTCAGTCAGATTATTCTGATCCAAATTCATCACCCTGACAAGCTTACCTTTATAATTCAACAAGGAGAAATCAACTTAATATACATGGAAGTTCAAGAGACTGAAAATCAAATACTAACACTGAAGATTATTTTTTCTATTAATCTGTCAGTATAAATGGCCCTGTCCAATACAGTTCCATTTGTTTAGATCTGACAAGCTGGAAAGTATTCTTTATTGGAGAAATTGGAGAACTACTGTTCTGCCTTGCAAAACCTTTGCTAATGCTGCAGCAATTACTGCTCTTAAAGGATGAGTTTACTTCGAAGCAAATCATTCTGATTTTAAAACTGAATTTTTATCATTTGTTTTCTTTCTCTGTGGTCTCCCGAACTATTCAAAATGTTTCTCTTTTCCCATCCTAAATGATGACTGGAAAAACAAAAGATGTAAAATTGACTGGTTGTTGAGTCACTTGGGTTACAAGAAGATAGTGTGTGTGTGTGTGTGTGTGTGTGTGTGTGTGTGTGTAGACAAACTAGTGGTGATATAGGCCTCCACTCACAATGTACTACACTGAACATAGACATATTTCTTCTTCCTCATTTCACATTTATTTCCATTTCTCCATTCTTCACCAAATCAACTACAACGCAATGATGAGGCTTGGGATATTTTCGTAAGAAAGCTCCCATGCCATAAAAAATCAGAATAAATTTACAAAATTTTCTTAACCTGTTTTCTTACTGAATTTTTAGTAAAAAATATTTTCAGAAGTGCCCTTACCAATTTTACATGTCAGATTTTCAATTCTACAAAAATTTGTTCAGATTTGTTCTCTAAATTCTCTACAATTTCATTGTCACCTTCTATATTGCTCCTTAATTTGTCTTATGATTTTATTAAATCTTGAGCTGTGGCTGGGGTTCAGAACTAATATTTCTGGCATGCTGAGTATTTTGGCGTCAGGAGATTGAAAGGCCTAAGAAACAACCACTCTTTGATCTCCTATTCTGACATCTTCAGTTACTGAATCTAACTTTCCTCTTTCTAATGCAGCTTGCCCATAGAATGTAGAATTCTTCTTCCCCCAAACAGGTCACGGTATCTAGAAAGGTCCCTCTCTTTTCTCCTGAAGATTTTCATTTGAGAAGAGTGATACTTCACACGTGGGAGGAAGGATTGTTACACAAATCGCCTATCAGATTCTTTGAAAGTCCTGATACATTGCCCCTGCCATTCTATTAGTATCAGATTGTCCAAATGACACCTCTACACAGCTCTTTATTTTTGAAGGTTCCCATGTCTTACACATGTATTAATTATACTAGCCATACTTTCATGCTCATTTATATAAATAAAATGGTAGCATATGCTACATATGATAATCATGTAGTATATCAACTATTATGCAGTTAGTATATCAACTATTATGCAGCTATAAAAAAGTGCAGGATTGAAACCTTTCTATAAATACACATAAGATGGAAGGATGCAGGACTAAACATAGACAATGGGAAATTATGGAAAAGGTCAAAGGATGAAAAATAATAGAAACCTTTATTAGTTCCTCTGTACTACATTTGTAATGAATTATTAATATTGTAACTGAATATAAGGGTAAAATACTTGAGACATAATAACCTAATTCTACCTTACATGCAAATGCAAGCATTTGTAGCATTACACATTTTTCTTTACACTGGGGGAAATCATTTTGACTTTGACTTAGCAGTGATATTAAAGGGAAATCGGAAAAAGGTAGTTTACAAAGTCGAAGTCCCCGAGAAACAGAGCTTATGATACAGTTTGCTTATTAGTATTTTATTGAGGTATTTATTAGCATTTTTGGAAGTGAGAGTATAAAAGGAAAAAAGAAAATAGTACAGGGTTAAGTTACTGAACTGGCCATAGCTTTACAACTACAGTTCACTGCCTAGTGTCTCAACATCATTCCATTACTCATTTCATGAGCATGAAACCTATACACATCACTTGGGGTTCCCATGCTTAAAGGATCACTGGATTTGTTTAATGTTTTCACATTACTACTTTGGAAAATAATTTTTTAGTTCCAGGCTACATTGCCATTTTCACCTTGGGTTTTACAAATTATATGGTTACTCTTTACCTCCATAGCAAACAAAAGTATGTTAGAAGAGTTGACTTGAGGGAATACCCATTTCACCTACCTGCTGGCTTCTTTCAACAAATGTTTCCAGGGGCATTAATAAACCAATTTGGCCTGGCTTTGGAGTTATGTGTGCATGTATGTTACCAAAAGGGTACCTAGGAAATCTAGGATATATACATACTGGATCCATAACACAGTATTCTTTACAACCTAAGTGGCTTGGTTAGTTTGGGATATTTTTGACAATTTATATCATTCATTTTGAATAAATAAACAAATTCAGCATACTTAAACTCTTACCCATTAGTCTTAAATCTGTTTTGTAGAAACAGTAATCAAGTCTACACTTGATTTTTCAGGAAAAGTATTGGTTACATATTCTCAATCTAGTTAAGCTATAACTTGTTTCTTCAACTAGTCTTCTTATGGTATTAACTTTCTTGTATTTTCCATCCTCCTTATGGTATTAAATTCCTTGTATATTCCATTCTTCTCCCCTCTATTGCTCACCTCCCAGCATAAAACTTCTACTGTATACATGCTGCTAAGAATGAAATAGTGTAGTCCAAATCTAAGAAAATAAGGAGACACCTCCCTTACCTCTTATCCCTACTGTGCTCTGATTGAATTTATTAGTAGTATGCTTTCTAATCAAGGGAACTAAACGTAATCTGCGTTTTTTGGTACATAGACTTCACAAGATACATGGATTTTAGATCTGGGAAGCAATGATAATTATATCAAGGAATAATCAGTTTGTTAGAAATATAGGGAAGTTCAAATTTAAAGAGAATCTTTGGAGACTAAACCATGTACAATAGTCCCTAGGTACATTTAAAAGATATTTTGTCTTCCTAGAATTTTATAAAGATGTTGAACAGATACAAAAGTGTTGAAAAAACAATGATCATGGACTTATCTGCTGGATTACTTGCCAGGAACACACTGCTGTAATCTTAAAAATTAATAGCTGGAGTCAATGACATAGCTCAATGGGGAAAATGTATGCCACACATGCTTGACAATCTGAGTTCAATTCCTGCAAGCCACATAAAAAGCCAGATGAGAAAGCAAGAATCCCACATCAGATTGTAATCCCCACAATACCCATGGCAAGACAGGAGAATCATTCAGAAGTCTGCACACAATATAAGCCAGAAGTCTGCAAGTAAGATAAGCCTGAAGAAGGCTGCAAAGCAACAGAAATAGGAGACTGCTTCCAACAAGGTGGAAACAGGAAACCTATTCCCATAAGTCATCGTCTCCATGGACACATGTACCACACACACACACACACACACACACACACACACACACACACGACAGTCAAAAACAGTAATGAGTATTTATGTAGCACCAAGCCTACCTAAAAAGAGAAGGCGGGAGGGGGGGTGACTTTCACTGTTGCTGACAGTACCTGGTGCTCCAAAATATTTAAGCACTGCAGATGGTTAGGAATGCTTGTCTACTGAATGGCCTCAGGCTGAGGTTGTATTTTTGGGCCTGTCATTATATTAGTCCACTAATATAAATTAAGGAGTCTTTTATGACAGTGCAACATTTTCTATACAAGTAAATTCCCAGCACAGACATTTTTAATGACTGATTAGTCAGTCTGGTGGCACTTCATTTTTTTCTCATTTCATTTTTACATCTGCTATTGAATTACTGAATCTGAATTATAACACTAAAAATTAAATTATAGCTATCTGGTTCTTTCTTATAGCTTTCTTTCATGTACTCCATAAATATCCTTTTAAGCGTATATACTCTCTTGAGTTATGCATAGGAGAAACTTTCCTTACAAATCTTATTTATCT